GGGGGGGGGGGGAGGGTCGCGCGGCGGCGTGGCCGGGCGGGCGACGTGGCACGCGGCCAGGGGGGCGTGGCACGGCGCGGCGGGACGCCACTCACCCTTGCGGCGCGGGGAGCGAAATACGGCGCTGAGGCCGTAGGCGGCGGCGACGGCGATGCGGTCCTCGTCCTCCTCCGACTCCTCCTCGTCGTCGTCGTCGTCGCTGTAGAAGAGGCCGCGCAGTCCCCTGCGCGCAGCCGACTGCACGCTGTGCGTCCACGGCGTGATGTTGTACAGGTACTTGTCGCGCAGCTCGGGCAGCCCCGGGAACGGGAACGGCGCCACCGCCACGATCGTCTGCGCACGCGCGCGCGCGCGCAGCCCGACGATCGTTAGGGCGCGTCGCCCCCAGGCGCGCGCCCTTCGGACGAGGCGTACCCCAGGGATGCGGCGCACAGGGGCAAAGCAGTCGCGCAGCGCAAGTGCATTAGCGGCAGATTGACAGGATATGCGAGGTTGGGGGAGCTGATGAACCTAACTACACTGCTATGAGTTTTTGATGTTTTACTGAAGTAATAATAATAGTAATAATAATACTAATAACAATATTAATAATAATAGTAATTAAAATATTGATGATAATAATATAAATCATAACAGAAATCATAATATAATAATAATGATATAATAATATTTATTTTTAGTGATAAACAGCCATTGCTTGTTATTGTCCTCAATACGGAGTTCGATATACGCTCCGTAACTAACCTGCATCGAGAGGACCGTGGGAAATCTGAGAACAGTTGAAAGGCGCAACATGTTCTCTTATGGAGGGACCCATGAGAGGGAAATATGAAAAGATAAACAGAGTCAAGCTAACATTTAGTTAATTAGTAAATTCAATTTGAATCATTAAAATTAGGTAAAAAGAGAAATCATGTATGTACCATGGGCGTTAACTGGTTCTCATGATAGAGCGGTGAAAGGCTCGGGCCAATAGCTCTCGGGCCTTGTCGCCGCTTGATCATAAGAACCCTTACAACACCCTTCGTGCATAACTAACTATTAATTAAGCAAGAACTTTACCCGCATTCTCATAACTTAACTATTTTATCTGTTCTACAAACACCTGAAACCCACAATACTCTTTCATATTTATTAAATAATTTACTTTCAGTTAGGTGTGTATCATCATTTAAACGTTCGTCATAGAATGCAACTAAATGTTTTGTAAAATAATACCATTGCTGGTCCAATATATTTTATTATTCTTTAACTCTTTTTTATTATTTTTTCCTTCCTTCTCTTTTCTTTGTCTTCTGCTAACTCTCCTTTCCTCCTCTCTGTATCCTTCCCTTTCCACTCCTCGTTTTTACTTGACATACGGGTACTTTATGACTTAGAAAATATTAAGGAAAACATTACACTTGAAAGAAACATGTTAATTCAGAAATTTTAGAATGAAATTAAATGTGTCAATGCAACACTAATACTACTGTTTGTTTGTTTTCATTCCATCTTATTTTCTGAGATAAATGTACTATGGTATTCATTTTCCTCTCTTTGCACCTTTCGATGTCTATAGAACATCCCCCTCGGTAGAGTCAACACTTCCGGCTGTTTTAACCATCTCGTTACTTTCTCCAGTTTCCCGGAAGAATGGCGTGTATGCGATCTACTATCCCATGTATGATAAATAGCTTCCAAGATATTACTACTTGCGGTTTGAAATTTGCTTCAGGATCGCTACCCCTTCACTGCACGTAGGCCCCTTACGCCGCATTCAACAAGTATGATATATCGGCTCAACTGGCTCAGTGGCTCACTGAGAGGCGGCGAACGGCTCGCCTCCCACGAGCCCACAAATTCACCTGCGAGTGGCGCTGTGTCGGGGGGCGGATACTCTCTGCGGCAGGGGAAATGGGTTCGAAAGCGGGCTGTGAGGCGGTCGAAAGCATGCTGCCATCACCTCCTCGTCGCATGACAGAAACGTAAAACGAATTTCGACTTTCGCACGGGACAATTTACGTAGACACGCAAGATCGCCGCGATAGAATGCGAAAGCAATGTGATAAGCGATGTGGTAATTTTAAGACCATGGGTAGTGAAATTAAACTTCTTGCAAATGCTTTTGTCACGCACAACGTAAAAATCATATTATAATATTGATGTGAAGTTAAATATTTGCAGACTGACACGCAACTATATAGAATTTTCAAAACCTGATTCGTATTTAAAAATTATTGGAAAATGTTTTTAAGAAAAATATATTATTTTAATTTATAATTAAAATTTGTCTAACAAGGATTTATATTTTAAAAGGAGTAAAGCATATATTATTTTTCAAAAATTGTGTTAACAGTACGTTATTCATAGAGGCCTGCAAGTATTGTATATTTATTTTCAAATAAAATTATTGTTCAAACGATTTTGTATTTCGATTTTTACCGTCTTATCCCGCTATACACTTCTCAAATGAAGAACAACTACTTCAATATAAAATTTGTACTTTTTTATTTACATCTAAATTGATATTAAAAATTTTGCAAGATTTAATGAATGACATTTTGAAATACGAACTCGTATGTTGGCAGCGGGCGCCAGACCGTTCGAAAAGTATTTCTTGCCCTTTCGTCTGAAATCTCTGCATTCTGCTTTCCCTCCCTAGACTTCCTAAACTTCCCTCTCAGGACGGGAGCCACCGAGAGTGCTTACGCCCTGAGGCCAGCTGGGCAGGACTGGTGGACACCATTATCGGAATGGGGAAAGGATTTAGGGAAAAATCCCTAAATCCTAAAAAAGCCCTAAAAAATTCGAACTCAAAAGGGATAGCTGGTGTGCTGGAAATGAACACCATGCCACAGAACGATTGAAAGCATCCATGTGTTACGCGGCATGAGAACGCACAGCCTTCGTATGTCGCGTACCAGCGTTTGGTGCCTAGCACAAATAATGTAGGCTTCATTGAAAAAACACATAAATGAATGTAAAACCTAACCGAATATTTTAGAAATTATTATGATAATGATGCTTCCCTTCAAGTATACACACAAGATCACATACACGATTATCTTGCATGTACAACGTTTATATTCCAACATAGTTAAAAAATAATATCTAATCAGACTCTAAAAAAGAAGAAACATCTTGAGAATGGAATTTCATGTTTTCTTATAAAATATAAAACGAAGTAACTAGTTATTTGTTATTGTCACAATCACTGTGATTCAATAGAAATAAATAATTCAATGAAAGTGAAGACGATCTAGCTTTCAGAGAACAACAATCGCAGGAATTCTTCTCAAGTGGATATCCGCACATTTATCGGGAAGATTATTATCCATTAAAATGCTTCTAGAAAACTAACTAGCCAAGAACACTCAATCTCATCTTTATAAGATAAAATAATAGAATATATTTCTATTTATTTATTGACAAACTACACATCAGAAATAATTAAAATATTTCCAAACTTTGTAAGCAAACTCTTTAGTGTAAACAGTTTACAGAGAAGTAGATTTGATAAGTTCAATCCTTCGTTATCAATTGACAAATGGCAGACATTGCCTGCTCTTAAAGATTTTTTCGAAGTAATTAGAATCACTTTCAATATGTAAGTAGTATTTTTTAAATTTAGTTATAATAAAAAATTGAAATATACGTTAAATTGATTATGTTTTGATCAATATTTATCTTTTATCGATATTACATCTACATTAGAGGGTATTTTTCATGTTTCAGTCTAATATCAATTACACGGTTTGGGAAAACCTACCACATGTCAGCTACATATCATCTGAATTAAGTGGTAATTCAATCAAATTGACTTTCTGCAGTAGAATTAATTGCCCATAACGGCTTTTGATCAATATGATCTAAGGTACACTATACTAAATTTTCAGGCAATTTGACCGAAACCTCATTTCTAAAGAATTGTGCTGGGTTATTTAGATATTTCACTCCTATATCACCCACCTATAAACCAAGGCATCATTTACACTCTCAAGTTGCATTTCATAAAATTTGTGGTACAGACACTAGTCGCCAAGATAGGAATATATTAAAATGTCTCAGAAATTACAAAGCTGATTAATATTTTGTTTGCAGTTGATTGAATCCATCACTAATCCATCCTCCGAAAAAAGTTCCATCAGATACTCTAAAATATATTTTATAAGAGCCGTATTTACAAACAGAATAAACATTCACTGAGGACGAGAAGAGCAATGAATATATTTGATTATGAGTGTGTGTAGAGAGGTGGGAATGTCACCTGCTGTTGAAGACATGGTGAATTTTGACACTGAACTAATTACTGAACAAGAAGTGGGGAAAGCTAGAGATTATAAATCGAAGGTACCACAGAAGACTAAGAAGAAGATGGAGTTGAAGCAGACATTCCTCCAGAGCTGAATATATCAGACTACAAACGTAAATGACCTAGAAGAATTTGTTGCTTCTCGAGACGACCCTGCGCTGATGGACCTGTCGCAGGGGAGTGGAAAACCATGCGCTGACAAATGTGGTTTATAAAACTTGACAACCTACTTTGCGGCAACAAAGGGAATTATATCGAGATTTCATTTTATAAATATTAAGCATATGCTACATTTATTTCTAAAATGTGGAATAATGCTTGCATGTATTTTCCCTGCGTTCTACTGTAATTCTCTCCTGCCATATTTTATTCGATTAATGATGCTTGATTTTCATTATTTTGTTTTAATAAAAATTATTCAGAAAATACTGTACTTAATTTATATAGTGAATTTTTGGCAACCTCTGTACGACCTGCCAAGAGGGGCATTTATTAATGGAACCGTGCGGTTCCATCTTAATTTTTATTATAGTAATAGAGCATTATTTTCTAACGCATTATTGTAGCGTTATTGTAGCGTCATACAGCTAATCCATGTCCTCAAATATGGGACGGAATTCACAGAACTACAACTGCAGCCTCGCGGTTCGGAAAGCCATTGTCGCATTCCAAACTGTTTTTTCCAAATGAAGCACGGGGAATTAGAGTATGCAAAATTACACCATAGTACTCAAAGTTTAAAAAAAACTACTGGTACATCAGTGTAGCACAGACTTTTATCAGTATTATTTTTCTATTTTCATTGGTCTCGCCTAGCTATTCGAACTTGCCAATACTCTTGCCTGCTGCCATCTATCGTCGTTCTAAGTGGTATTTTTTAATTTTTTTAAAAAATTTTCGGTTTCGTAATAGCAGAATCAAATTATTACTTAAAAAATATTAAAGAACAATAAAACATCGTGCCAAATGGTAATTTTCTTTGAAACATTTGGAGCAGTTTTTAAGAAGGCAGCATTCAAGCACTACTGTAAAATCGAAATTGGAACCTCTTTTCACAGAAAACTATTGAGTTTTCAAAATAAACTTCATACGACGGTATTTAATGCATTTCTAGTCACAAATTTAATGTGAAAAATACAGTGTTTACAAATGTCTGGAAATGTATACATTAAACGCGTGAGGGATCTTTCAAAACAATGATATGTGAGTAATGTTTGAAAAAAGCAAAGAATATAGCACAATGACCTTTTTGTCATATTAAACAGTACAATTGGCACTATCTGTTAGAAAAGTTTGAAGACAAAATGTGGAGCCATTTTAGAGAAAATGGTGTTTGAACGTTTTTAAAACTGTTGAATTTTGAGCTCATTCTCGTGGAAAACTGTTGAGTTTTTGGGAAACTCTATCCCATATTATTTAAAGCACATACTCATAAATACATTAATGTAAAGAAATTTCCAATAGTGTAAATAATAACGATGTGAGAGACGAGTCAAAAAAATTAAATGTTCGTAATTTTTGAAAAAAAGCAAACGAATAGAGCAATATGGCTTTTATGTCATCATATAGAGTGCATTTAGGACAATCCCTATCAAAAGTTTGAAGAAAAAATTTGCAGTCGTTTTTAAAAACACTTTTGTTTTTCTATATTTTTAAAATTGCACATATTGCTCGCAATATTGCGCGAAAACTACTATAAGTTTTTAAAAAATTACATAATCTTAAAGAAAGAACTCACTTTGAAGAAAAAAAAATATTTGAGAGAAACATCTTTATCTTCAATTTTGTAGTTGTAAGAAGACGCCCGAAAAATATTTAAGTTTTGATATTTCGAAAATTCAGAATTAAATCTGAAAATCTGACATATGCCATCTTCATAAGTATATTGTACTCTATTCATGCAAGTAGTTTAAAAACAGTTTAGAGGCATTTTTGAGAACATTTTGAAAATGTCTAGAGGGTTTCATGTAAAGTACCCCCAAATTTTAAAGATTTTTTTTCAAAATCACAAAGCTTCGACTCGTGGTAGGTGGATAGGTTTTTCTTCAATTTGGAAAAAATCCTACGAATGGTTTATGAGCTTGTAGAGTTCACACACACACCAGGCGGACGGACGATTAAAAATAAGTTTGCGGCAACAGGAGCCCTCAAACGTGTATTTCCGTTGAAATGTCGAAATCAAAGCATTACACAACTTTCCCTATACTACGTATTACTCCGAATATACGTACGAACATAAAATGGCAGTTTACAAACCCTGTATTCACGTCCGAGTAATATTCTAGATCATTACTGTTTCATGTGCACAAAAATATATTAAATTACAGTACACGGTGTCTCGGAATAAATATTACAAACGTCTGGGGCCATCAAGAGTATACTATGTCACACATGTAACTTTAATAATAATACGGGAAAGCGCACAATGTGTATAGTTCATTCTCTATACACACACACGTAACTTCTACATATCTGAAATTTCGCAAAATATGTTGAGCTAAAAGTGGCTAAAAGTAATTACTTTCGACCCCTGTACGTTTAGAAGTTTGTAACATTTATTCTGTGGCATCTGTATGTTACACTATTAAATACGTTCATAATTAATAGTTTAACCTTTAAGGTCAACAGAATCGTAAGGATAAAAAAAAAACAAGTAAGTGTGACGGCGTGCAAAGATTTGACCGAGTGCACCTTGACGAGATTGTTGGTATCCATGAGGCCGAACTCCAGCATTTCCCGCGTGAGCACTCCCATGATGCTGTAGAACTCGTCTGCGCTCTCCACGGCCAGAATGCGACTGAAAACGGAAAAGATTAGGCAGTTAAGTTAAAACTTAATCGATAATCAATTAAAACCAATAAAAATGTTTATACATGCAAAGTTCTATACTTGTAGTTCTCTAACTTGTTTGGAGGTAAATAAAATATTTTCAATTGTTTGTAGTTCATGAAGCCGGCATATCAAATAAAGAATTAATATAGTTACCATGAGCTCTATCATTGAATTTACAACAAATCTATGATTGAGAGTATTGTATCTCAGGGATTAAATATTATGTGTGGCGATTTATGCAGTTCAAAGCACAACATTAATAATAACGAAATGTACGATCATATAACTAATATTTGTAGATGATTTCATAGAACTAAGATTTGCTAAAACTATTTAGAGACTTTCTGGGCAAATTTTGAAACTGGAGTCTTATGTAAAGTATTTCAAAATATCAAAATACACGTTTCAAATATGCAGGATCTGGAATTCAACCAAATCGATAGGGGATGTTAATTTTGAAGAACATACTATAAATCGTTAGACCAAGGGTTTCCAAACTTTTTCTTGCCTCGATCACTTTTAAAACAAAGGTTTGCTTCATCGATCTCATTCAATTTTTTTTCTATAATGGACAGCATGCAACATTATCATAATACAAATAATTATGAATATCTGACATATTGCGGATAATAATTAGGCAAATAATATGAACAAGGTTGAGAAAAAGGGTTACATTTTTTTTAATTCTTTGGACTATCACTATTTTAAACTGACAAATATAAACTAGTTTTCAAAAACAAAATATCAGATTAAAATTGAGCTTAAATTTAATTTTACTAATCTGAATGATGTAAACTTCCAAAAGGTCAGCGAATTTGTAATCTATTATTAGGTGTTTTATAGTTTTAAGAGTATAAAATAATTTAATAATAATAATAATAATAATTATTATTAGTATTATTATTATTATTAAAATTTCATAAATGCACAAGATATCACTTTATAACCGTCATAGTACAAAAGTAGTCGTGTAAGTAAGTAGTAAGTAACGTCGTAGTAAAAGTATTTGTGTGCTTACATTAATTATAGAATAACAGAATTGTTTTTACAGAGCATCGTTTTACAAATTACTATGTTTTAGATTAAAATTAAGTGAATATACTATGCAGATATGAAAAGGACAGCGGAAGACAGAATGTCATGGTGATTAGGCACTTTGCCTTTAGGACGATGACTGGTTTTTAGAAACCACAGATGTACAATTTAACTCAATGTTTACAACAATTTCGATTGATGGATGAATTATATTTCTATTTCTGTATTCCTATTTCTATGTCTGCGGGAGCATTTTTTAAAATTTAATTATTTCAGTCCTTATATTGCAAACAACAACATATCTTTGTATTCAATTCTTCAATATATATTAAGAGGTGAATGGATGGCCACTACATGAGTCATTGAAGCAGAAGATGAATTTAATTCTATCTCTCTCTTCTAATAACTGTCACGTTCAATTCTGTCACTCCTGTTATTATCTATAATAAATATTAATTTAGTGTATATATCAACATTTTTTTATTACTTAGTAACTAGAATTTTTCTACATTTCCTCTCTCCTGGTAGGTTATCTCTTTTGGGGGGTTCTTCAGTGGTTCTTTTCATGCCATTCCCTCGTCAATCTCCCTTAACTCGCCGGATGGCCCACTATCGATCGGAGAGTTCTTTTGAATGGCTGCTATCGTCTTTCTAATCCTCCTCCCTCCTTTTGGGACGACTTTTCTCTTTCCTGAGAATAGGCCCTGTTCACGAGATTCGATAATCTTTAGTGAAAGAGGATCTCCTTCTATTGTAACATCGGCTTGAGTAGATCTGACAGTATAGTATTCGCCTTGCATTTGCAATTCTAAAGCTATTCACAACGTTTTCCAGTTCTTTTTTGACAAACATTACGGTCAGACAATGCGAATGTTTACCATTAAAGATTAACAGAAAACATTAAATATTTGTTATAAGGAATTACATTTTCAACTGAAACATCGTGCTTACCATTGCCCTAAAACTTCAGTTTATATTCGCAGACTGTACGTACAAATTGTGAAGTTATAATGTGCACATTATGCCATATACGTTTTGCAACTAGAAGCATCAATTGTCAAGAAATTGAGCGAATTGAATAATTACATATCTTTTTTCCTAATAAACTAATATTTTTCAGTCTTGTTGCATTGCAAATTAAACCTTTTTAGGTAATTGAATGTGATCTGGATTAGTTAAAAAGCCTGGTTCCATCCAGTCTTCCTTCTTACTGACGTTTTCGCAACAAGGTATATATTAAGTCTCCACAGTGCTGAGTGATGCACTTTTCAGTGATACGCAAGGTTTTGTCGTCCTTCAATACTGCTCAGTACTGCTTGAATAATTTTACCGTGTGTTCAGTCTTGTAATACTATTTATTTATTATCTCTTAACAAAACATTTTTGAAAAAGGTTTGGAGGCACAACAATGTCAAAAAATTACCAATCTGGCGTTAACAAGCCCGCTGGTAACAAAGAATTCACCATTCGTTGATAAACGGGGGGCGTGTCACCAAACATTAATTATTCTCATAAATCTACACTTTTGCGATGTTAATTATTTTTATTGTTTCAACTTATCCATTATATAACACAAATACTCATTATTAAGATTGTTTGGCATTAATTAAAACACTTAAAAGCTTCGTGAAACATTTAATAGTCATAAATAACATAAATTTCTCTTTGGTGATTTTTACATCTTTATTTACTAAATTTTGTGCAGGCAGTTTGCACTTTTCTGGAGCACATTCTGCACAAGCTGCATTCCAAAATGTTTAGAAAGTATTTTCCTTTAATTTTCTGTCTATGTTTTATAGTTATTAAAAGAATCGATGTATTTGATTCAGTACACTAAAGAACGCTATGTTTTGCCATATCCGTGCGCCTAGTTAACGGTATAAACGCGGTAAATTTTGTCAAAAACATCCACACCATCTTTGATATCATTGACCATTTTGTTTGTCAGTAAATCAGAAGTTATTTCATTGTCGCGTGTATAATTATACTCATATTCACGAATAGTTGTCAAGCGTTTTCACATAGTAATTTGGTAAATTGTAACTTTTGTTTACTTTCTGATTTCCCACTTACGGAAGAGCGTATATGCTATAATATGTTCGCGCAATATTTCTTTGGTCCTACATTTATCTGGGACGAGAAATTGAAAACGGCATTTTGTCACGACACCCATAAAGCCATTTTTCAACCGTCACATATAGTATGTGAGGTGATAGAGATAAATGTCACACATATAAGTAGGAAACAAATATGTCCCTTTCATTTCAGATTGCGTTATCATCAAATCTGAAACAAATTTGTAGAAACTTTAAACAAACGTGGCATTATTCAATGAAGATGCAGACCACAATTTTTCCGCGCTCACATGTACATCGTTTATACTGCCAGCTATAAACCGAAGTCCAAATAGGGTACACGTCTTTATGAATATGAATTATGAACAAATCTCTGTTCGTTACTCTACATTTTCGTAACTGAAATTATTCACTGTTTTCTTTCGCGATCAATTCAATTTCACCAGTATATAAAATAAGTTTTCATGGATATATGCTTTTATGAAATATTGCCTGCAGATTTAGAAGCTTTGTATATTATTACAATGATGCAATATTATATTGTTTTTCTTAGGATGCGATTGTGATCATAAATGCCTATTTGATATTACCGCACACAGTGATAATAGTCTAATGGGTTCAGCTACTCAGAAAACACACAGGCGTCAAAACGTAATTAAAACTGATCGATTCTCTCCCAATACGAGCTAATGACATTAAAAAATATATTACTAACGTGTACTCTTCTGTATATATTCTTTAAAGGTCGACAACACTTTGCTAGATTGCTGTATCATACGTATGTATTTTTCTGTGCGAAGCCGCCGTCGATTCAAACTGCGCGCGCGCCGACGTGTAGGAACGGGTCAGACGATTCCCCAGAGTCATTGCCAACGGGCGGCAAACTTGGCAACCTCGCCTATGAACGTGGAGACTAGAAATATACAGGAATCTCGGAAGAAAGTTAAGTTCGTAGATAGTTAACGATTTCCACAGTATGTAACTTTTGTACAACGGCTGTAATATCGCCTTTTTGTAAGATATTTGTTATTAACGTTCCATATGAATTGACACATTGACAGCTCTACGCAATTAGACTAAGTTCTTAACATCGCACATTTAAAAATTAGCTCTATCGTCCCCTGTATACGGACTACATTTTTTCTTTCCCTTACTTGGTACTTTACTTCACACCAAGGTCGTAGTTTTCTCCCTGTCACATCTACATTTGCAAAATAATAAGTTTCTTTCATGTAGAAAGATATTTGATCCATTTACTAAAACAAATTTGGTGATTTTTTTCTGTTAAAACTGTTTCGGTTGTGGGTCCTAGATGCTGTATCACTTGCTCTTATCAATTGTTTTTGTAGTAAAAACACTTAGTGTTAATAATATATTAAAACTAATAATGAACGCGTATCTGTCGATATTTGTTCATTACCCTTTTAAGTCATTTGCTTATTTTGTTTTACGAGTTGCAGTCAATCTAACAAAATCAGTCGACGATTCGTCATTTGCACGAGCAAGCAGGTGAGTATGATGTTGCAAGAATATATTTGCAGCATTCGATTATGGTTGGCGAAGCAAATTTAGCATGTTAATAAGTTACATATTTAATACAAATATAGTTCACAAAAAATAGTTATGTATTGTTCCAAATTACGCAAACCTCCCTTATATCATCAGTTTTGGAGAATAAGTATTGATCAACATGAAACAAACAATTTTTAGATTTTTAATTTTTTATGTGGAAGAAAGGTTCAACTAATTATTTGAAAGTGTTAATCATTCAGCCATTCCGGAAACAATAGTAACAAATAGAATGTTGTAACTTATAAATAATAAAGCATATTTGATGAGATAATTAGACAGACTTGGCAATAATGTATTATCGCATATACGAGTAATTAGCATTACTATTTGGACAAAATTTATTTAATCTCAATTTTTTTTAAATTTTGGAGTTGCTAATTAACGTGATTTTTAAGTATGAATTGTTATGAGAAATCTATAACGTAAATATTGTCGTTCATTTGCTCATCAGTAAAGAATTTTTAAATTTTCACTTGTAAATATTATTGTTATAATAAATCTTACCAGTAAATACAAATATTAGGAAATGTACAACTGTTTGCATATTACAAGACTAAAATTTCGTTTTAATGAACTTTAAATCCTGAAATTGGTATTTTTGAAAGATAGATATTTATTTGTTGTTGACCCCCCTTGAGCTAGATATAAAACGTGGTTCATAGAAAACTTTCAGTAAAAAAAATATTTAAAATGAAGTATTTGAAAGGAAATATCTTTACATGCGAAACCTTCACGTGCATAATTGTACTGTTCAAGAAACTTGAGGCATAATCCTTACCTTGATACACATCGTAATATTGTGCATACACGCTATTAATTTATTTAATTTTGTATATAATTTTGTAGAGATAAAATATTTTCTAGAAAAGTAAATATTTATTAAAACGAACATTTTTTAGGAAAAATAGAGCAGTGTGCGTGAAAATTACGTTTAAGCATTTTGCGCTATTCAATATTGACAAATTACTACATAAATAAGAGATTTAAGTCATAGTTTGAAGTTATTGTGCGCACAAAGACATTAAAAATATTAATTTGTTATGTAAATAAAAACTTCATACAAGAAATTAAAAAAGTACAAAATTCCGATTATTAGTGGGTGTGGGAGTAGATACGAGAGGGGGTGTGGGAAATGGATGTGAGTGGATATGTGAGCAGATGTAGGAGGGGTTGTGGGACAGCGTGTGGGAGGGGAAGTGGATGTGTGAGGGGAGATGGAGAGGATTTGTGATGTGAAGTGGGGAAGGGGTAAATGCTGGAGTGATTGATTTAATGGATGAGTGTATATGGAAGTGGAAGTGGTTGTGGGAATCGGAGTGGGAGTGATGAGAAATTGGAAGTGGGTATGAATGTGTGAGTGGGAGTGATTGTGGAATCGGAATGGGAATGATGAGAGACTGGATGTGAGAATAAACGTGCGAGTGGGAGTGATTGTGAGAATCTGAGTGGGAGTAGTGAAGTGAATGTGGGAATGAATGTGCGAGTGGGAGTGATTGTGAGAATCTGAGTGGGAGGGATAAAGTGGCTGTGGGCAGTGGAACGGGTGTGTGGGTGGGAATGATTGTGGGAATCGGAGTGGAAGCGATGAAAGTGGATGTTGGAATGAATGTGCGAGTGTGAGTGTGGAGTGAGAGTGGGAGAGATGAGGAAGTGGATGTGAGAATAAATGTGCGAGTGGGAGTGATTGTGAGAATCGAAGTGGGAGTGATAAGAGACTAGATGTGAGAATGAATGTGCGAGTGGGAGTGGTTGTGAGAATCTGAGTGGGAGTAGTGAAGTGGATGTGGGAATGAATGTGGGAGTGGGAGTGGTTGTGAGAATCTGAGTGGGAGGGATGAAGTGGCTTTCGGCAGTGGAACAGGTGTGTGAGTGGGAGTGATTGTGGGAATCGAAGTGGAAGTGATAAGAGATTGAATGTGGGAATGAAGGTGCGAGTGGGAGTGGTTCTGAGAATCTAAGTGGGAGTAGTGAAGTGGATGTGGGAATGAATGTGTGAGTGGGAGTGATTGTGAGAATCTGAGTGGGAGTAGCGAAGTGTATGTGACCAGTGGAACGGGTGTGTGGGTAGGAGTAATTGTGGGTTGTCGGAGTGGGAGTGATGAGAAATTGGATGTGGGAATGAATGTGCGAGTGGGAGTGATTGTGAGAATCGAAGTGGGAGTGATAAGAGACTAGATGTGAGAATGAACGTGCGAGTGGGAGTGGCTGTGAGAGTCCGAGTGGGAGGGATGAAGTGGGAACGGGTGTGCGAGCGGGAGCGGCGTGGGCGCGCGGACTCACTCGGCCAGGCCGTCCCAGATGGCGAGGGCCGTGCGCAGCAGCACCTCGCTGCCCTCCAGGAAGACCAGGTCCCACACGCGCAGCACGGCCGGCTGCGGGAGGCAGTTGCAGAAGAGCGTCAGGAACCACTGCATCGTGAACACGTTGGTCAGCGGCGGCTCGTAGCTCGTGCCTGCGCAAGCCAAGCAACAGAGCGAAATGCTTAAACAGGGCAAACATATCGGACTTTTTTTCCTTTTTGACACTTAAAAGTATAAAATGACTCCTTGTAAATGGAATACTGTAGCCAGGACAAGATTCTACAAGAACTATTTTACCTAAAACGTTTAACAAATAACTTAGTGGTGGGTACATCATACTAGTTCATGATATCAGATACAATTGATTTCATTATGAATTTGTTTTATCATAGGAACATAAACATAAATCCTAACTCTGCGACGGCATTTTATTCGCTCTATTACGACTCTAGATCTTTATATTAAAATGTATTTTCGTAGGTTAAATAAAGTTGCTGTCGCTCAAAGTTACTCACAAACATTTCATACATAATGAAAATGCACCGTACTTTCTACACCAGTCACTTACGCTACATTTATTGATTTACCTATTTTCGTTGCTCTCTATATTCTTACTTCTCTCTTTATTCTTCAATATTGTAATAATGTTAACACAATCATGGCATTGACTCTTTAGTTAAAATTCCCAATGAATAAAAAATTGCATTCATATTCATTTATTTTATGTGTCAATTAAACTTCGGTAAAATGTCTTACAAATGGAAAAAGCATACTTTTAATTACGTAAAAAATAATTAGATCGCTGGTGAGGTAGATACCTTCTAATAATTAAATATGGTAAATTAAAAATATTGTCTGGTATCAAAAATGTATTTTGCGAATGATATTTTCGATCGCGTACTGATCATCATCAGAGCTTGTAGCTTTCGGGCTCTAATCAAAGTTCTGCGGTTTTTAGAGAGAACAAGATATACTCTTTAAAAACTTCAGAACTTTATTTTCAACTCGGAAGCTTCAAGCTCTGAGGATGATCGGTACGCGATCGAAACTATCATTCGCAAAATACATTTTTGATACCAGACAACATATTTAATTTACCATATTTTATTACGTGAAAACATAACATGTGACGGTTTGACGCAGGGTTTCTTAGTTCAACCATCGGATATTCAAGAATCGTGGAAGAAACGAGAACACGATACCTTTCGTAAAAAGTCGATACGGGAGGATTCACTTTCTAGTTAATTGGAGAGGGAGGAAGGAAATGGTCGGGGCTATCGCTGCGATGCTCACCTGTTCGGAAGGGCTACAGATTCGCCAGCGCTATTCACGGGAAAGAGCCGAGGCTCTGCAAAGGTCTCGGCACTCCTCGTGAATTCAGTAACGGGCAAAAGACTGGGC